TACACAGTGGGCCGACCATGTGAAGACACAGCAAGAGTGTGGCCATCTGCAAGCCAAGGAGAGAGTCCTCAGAGGATACCAACCCTGCCGGCACCTCGATATTGGACTTCCAGCCTCCACAATTGAGAGGAAATAAGTATTTGCTGTTTAAGTAACCCAGTCTGTGCTATTTTATTACAGCCCTAGCAAGCCAATCATGCAGTACTGATGTCAGTATTTGATGTACTTTCTGTGTTTGGTCAAAAGGTTTTCCATTTCACTCTGATTTATTAATTTTAGCTGAAAGCAGACTATGCAGCAAGGTACACAAGAAAACAAGATATCCAAAGAAGGCAGTGTTCTTGCTTAGGTCCGGTAAATTACTTGGGCTTCTTAATATTTGTTCAGTCTTGGGCTGGCCTCTCATCTCAAGGTGCACAGAGAGGGGGATTAGAGATGATGATTCTCCTGGTTAGCTGGCATACAGAACTATCTTCCTTGTCCTCAGATATCCCAATAAGTTTTTCTTTGGTTCAGAGTTTCTGTGTATGGATTGCCACCTCAAATGTTCCCTAATTTGTTCTTATTCTTCTTTTTACTAAGGTTCCTACAGGTCACTTTATTTCTAGTGTAGTAAAAATACATCATATTTACATCAGAGTAATTCACTGCCCTGGTATAGTGATTAGAATGACAATAAAGCTGGTTCCATCCATGACTACTTTTGTAGATTTTCCCAGTGTGACTTCCAACTTCCTGAGATTGTGCCCTGATCATCCTGATGCAACAGAATCATTTCATTTTTTCAGCCACTGATTTCTTCACTCTTTAGGATGGGCTATTTTAAAAGATCTGACCTTGGCCGGGTACGGTGGCTCACGCTTGTAATCCCAGCATTTTGGGAGGCTGAGGCGGGCAGACCACTTGAGGTCAGGAGTTCAGAACCAGCCTGGCCAACACAGTGAAACCCCCTCTCTACTAAAAATACAAAAAAATTAGCCAGGCATGGTGACGGGCACCTGTAATCCCAGCTACTCAGGAGGCTGAAGCGGGAGAATCACTTGA